ACAGAGAGAAACATCCATGAGGAGAGAGAATCGCGGACCGGCCGCCTCCTGCACGCCCCCTCCTGGGCATCGAACCCGCAACCCGGGCCTGTGCCCTGACCGGGACTCGAACCGTGACCTCCTAGATCCTTGGTCGATGCTCAACCACTGAGCCACCCCGGCCAGGCTGTGCCTTCCATTTGTGAGCGAGGAAGGGAGAGGGAGAGAAAGGCCCAGAAAAAATCAAGGATTCTGTTTCAGGCGTACGCCCCGGCGGCGCTTCTCCCTGCCGAGGTGCCGTGAACCCCAGTCACCGAGTTTGCCCCCGAGGTTCGGGCAGAAGGGATGAAAACGGCTCCGTCTACTTATAAAAACATAAAAACAGACAAGCAGGCTTTGAAAGAGCGGGTTTTACGGCGCGGGCGCTGCATTCCCATAGAGCCGTTCTACGACAGACTGTATAAACACACACACAGAGAAATGCCAATCTCTACCCAATGCATTTAACACATAGTTAAAAATACACAGGCGGCCCCGGCCGGTGTGGCTCAGTGGACAGAGCGTGGGCCCTCGGACGGAGGGGTCCCAGGTTCGATTCCGGTCAAGGGCACGTACCCCGGCTGCAGGCTCCATTCCCGGGCCCTGGTCGGGGTACATTTCAAGGCCACCCATCCACGTGTTTCTCTCACATCGATGTTTCCCTCTCTCTCTCTCTCTCCTCCCTCCCTCTAAAAATCAATGGGAAAGATCCTGGGGATTAACAACAACAGCAATAAAACGATAGTAAATACGCAGATGAAATAAAACGGTCAGTTCACGTACAAGAGTCAATCAGTGAGTACATGACTAAGTTTTCTCTCACATCGATGTTTCCCTCTCTCTCTCCTCTCTCCCTCTAAAAATCAATGGGAAAGACCCTGGGGATTAACAACAACAATAGTAAAACGATAGTAAATAAACAAAGGAAATAAAACAGAGGTCAAATAGCAGACAAAAACCGCCTTCCCAGGAGCCAGGACGAATCAAGGGTTACCGCGTCCGTAGGCCACCTGGAGGGGATCATTAGGAAAAGTGCTCACCCTCTTCCGAAGGATCACACGACACAAATGAGGGAAAAACACACCATTTTCCCAACTGGCACCGACATCTTTTGGATGGCGATACATTTCTGCTTTTTATTACCGATTTTTAGAGAGAGAGCAAGGAGGAGAGAGAGAGAGCGAAACATCGATCGGCTGCCTCCTTTGCACCCCCCCTACCGGGGATCAAACCCAAAACCTGGGCGTGTGCCCTTGACCGGGAATCGAACCGGCGGCCTGTTGGTGCCTGGGATGACGCCCAACCCACTGAACCACACAGGCCAGGGACCATTTGAGTGACAAGAGTGGTTGAGCATCGACCTAGGAGCCAGGAGGGCACCTTCGATTCCCAGTCAGGGCACACATCCATGAGGGGGCGTGCGGGAGGCAGCCGATCCATGATTCTCCTGTCATCATTGATGTTTCTATCTCTCCCTCCCTCTTCCTTCCTCTCTGAGGTCAATGAAAATACATTAAAAATAAATAAAAACTTGAAGGCAGGCCAAGAGCCCTGGCTGGGCAGCTCAGAGGGTTAGAGCATCGTCCCCAAATGCCAAGGGACGTTCGATCCCAGGTCAGGACACTTAACGCTGAATGCATGAATACGTGGAACAACAAATCAATGCTCCCCCCCTCTCCCCCTCCTCTCTAAAATCAATAAAAAGCTGTACGTGTCCCAGCCAGTGTTGCTCAGTGGATAGAGTGTCGGCCTGCGGACTGAAGGGTCCCAGGTTCGATTCCCGGTCAGGGCACAGGCCCGGGTCGCGGGCTCCATCCCCAGCAGGGGGCGTGCAGGAGGCAGCCGATCTATGATTCTCTCTCATCATGGATGTTTCTCTCTCTCTCCCTCTCCCTTCCTCTCTGAAATCAATAAAAAAAAATATTAAAAAAAATAAAATAGAAAGAAGGGAGGCAAAGAGTCTGATGGGCGGAAACACTGCGGGGTCCTGACTCACAGGAGGTGACGCGTGGGACCCGCGGACGGACAGCCGAGCGCGTGCAGACGGGGACCCTCACCGAGCTGTCCCCGGGGGAGCGGGGGCGAGGCCCGTCTCCCGGAAACGGGAGCGTCAGGGCCGAACCTGGACGCCGGCTCAGAAGGCACGGGCTCTACATGTGCCTTTCTCTCCGCCGCCAGCACGGGGTCGCTGGGGCCATCGACCCGGGATTGCGACACGTCAGCGTTTCCTGGGAAATGACACGGGACGCGGACGGCCACACTCTTAGGGGGAAAGTGCGACAGAGCCACGGGAGGCAATCGAGAAAGTCTGGGGCTTTCGATGATGGGAAAAGGGGGGTGGAAACGTCACCCGGGAGAGGCTAATTTCTCCTGCCTTTTTTTTTTTAATCCTCATCCGAAGATGTTTTTTGCACTGAGTGTTAGAGAGAGCGGGAGCGAGAGGGAGAGACAGAGAAATTTCATGGGAGAGAAACACGTCGATCGCCTGCCTCCCACACGAGCCCTGACCAGGGCCGGGAACTGCAACCCGGGCACGTGCCCTCGAACGGAATCGAACCCGGGACCCCTCGGTCCGCAGGCCGACGCTCTATCCGCTGAGCCGCACCAGCCACGGCTCTCCTGCTCTTAACCGATGATTAAACATTTCACTGGGCCCCGCTGTTCCACCCGCTGAACCAAACCGGCTAGGGCACATATATTCAGCTTTTTTTCTTTTTAAATCCTCACCCGAGTGTATTTATCCCTTGATTTTGAGAGAGAGAGGGAGCGGGAAAGACAGGGAGAAACATAGATGTGAGAAGAACACGTCGATGGGTTGCCTCCTGCATG